AAAAACAACAAATCTGTTCAGACTGATAAAAATCTAATGATTAGATGGCAAACAAAATGTCTGACCGGTTCCTTTTTGTGGGCTGTTGTTTAAAATCTATATTGCACTGCTTGTACATTAATATAACTGTGTATCTACATGTATAACATGTTTAAATGTGCCAAACTTAGACTTTTATTTCGTTTGTTGGTTTGTTTTTCGAAGCTGCATGAGGCAATATGTGAAAGAAAAGCGGATCGCTGACTGCACATATTCTGAGGGAACCTCTGACAAACAGACTGATGAAGTCAAGGAACACTGTGAACTCTGAAAACACTCTACAGAGCCAGTTCTCTGGCATTTAACCATGTATTACAAAATATCAAAGTTGTCTTTGTTCAGAAAATGTAGGGAGGGTGTACAGTATACTAAATACTCCAAAATGCACGTACTTTAGTGGGAACTTTTCAGTTGTTTAAGCAATTTTGTCGCTGTTTTTCTACATATATTCTTCCACAACTTAACAAGCATATTATTCAATATGGTCTAAGATCAGAAGTAGCTCAGATGCTCACAAAACAGTGTGGGTCCAGAAGACAGAAGAAAAATGTACAAACATATTAATTTGAAGAGGACATGATTATTGTTATTAGGGTTAATAGAAACAAACTTCTTTTGGGTTGAGAGAGGCACCTCAGAGGTGCACCAATAAATTTAAATAATCCTGTGACCCCAAATATTACACCGTTGTGTTCATTCCATTCGTATGGACATCCCGTAACACACATCTATGTAGGTAGGTAGTTTATTTATCCACAAGCCGAATCATCTTACCTCACTTTTTCACACATTATTTGTCGAATTAAAATGCCAAATGTGTACTTATAGGACATGGGATATGGTAGGTACTTACATTTTAAAGTCATGTTTTTGCTTCAAGTTAAAGATCTACTGACTTTAGACTGTAGACTGAACTGCAAAAAAGCAGCAGCTGTTCCCTTTCACTCAATTCTTTCTTATTTGGTTTGCATCTGAACGATACGATCCATTAAAGTAATACACTTAAAAACTTTGTTGACATTTCTATGGATGAAGTCACTCAAAAAGGCCAAATCTGCTTCTCTGCCTCTTTTTTTCCGTGCTCATTTTTGCAGGATCTGATCATCCGAACGCTTTCCTAATTTTTGTATGTAAAGAATCAAGTTGTCTTGATGAGGTTTGGTGCCTCTATCATTTTCCAGAACTGGTCGTATATTTAACCGCTTTCAGATTTAATTCCCACCTGACAGAGATGCTTCATTGTAACGTGATAAAGACCATTCAGGATGACTCACTGATTTGCAGTGAGCCTACTCTGTAATGGAGACACAAATGTCCCCACAGCAGAAAGGGGATTTCAGATCTCCGGACTGTCGGTAGGATTTATGAATCCCGTTTTTGAATCCAAGGCACAGTAAAATGGCGGATAACTACATGATGTGCACAATTGATGCTGTAAATTCTACAAGAGTTTGAACAGGAACACAAACATGCTGACCATTTAGATCAGGTATGCCAAATAGTCTGATTTTTTTAAAGTATAAAATCCTCACAGTGATATATAGTAAGATACAGTCAGTAATTATATTCTTAAACTTAAAAGTCTTAATTCATGATAATTAGACTGATAAGCAAAACAACCAATATGTGCACTGAACTGTTTAAATTAGAAAAACTTACTGTAGGGGGAAATAATAACTAGCTGCTATCATCATGTCATCATTCGGCAGGAAACTCTTAGAGGAAGAATTCTATTTCAACAGTTAGATTGGCATTTAAAGGCCCTACTGTCCGAGGAAAGAGATTGCAGGAATTATGTTAATATTTATATGTTAGATGCCGATCTATCCAGGGTAAATGCTGCAAAAATGCTAAAAAATGTCAAATCTGAACTAATCTGAAAATATCACAAGTATATGTACAGACTCACATTAAATTGTTCTTTTGTGCTTATGGACAGAAAAATAACCACATGGAAGAAAAGACTGTGTTTTAAGAATTATGTTAAAATGATACATCACAATTAAAATGCAACAATTCCTAAATTTGAAGTTAAAATGTTAGAGATAAACACACTTCTGTCAATCTGAAAAGCTGAGTTTCCTTCCTGTTCAACTGTAAGGGATCTGTGATAACTTTACTTAAAATGGTGATTTTAAATAAATGACAGGTAGATCAAGGTCCTGTGAGTATTTTGTGGCAGCTGAAAAGTGAAAGGGCCAGAAGTTTAAACCTCATCACACAGTACAGTGTGTTCTATTCTGATCTGGACATTCAAACGTAGTTAGTTTTCTATTATTCATTTACCAGGCAAAACAATTCCCAAAAGATTTGCATCCCAAAACAGCAGCAATACTACGTCACAATGCTGAAACAGTTAAGGAAGACATCCAGTAACTCTTCCAGCATGAGACTGTCCTGGGGGGGGGGTTGGTGGTTCTGGGATCCTGCCCCTCAGCTCTGTGGTCAGCACACTGACCACGTCGCAGCTTTCTGTGTGAAACACTTTTGAGCAACAACTGATATTTCTAATCTGACTGCAGAAATGGATTCTGAGATCTTTCGGGTCCAAATATCTGTACTGGACACAGCCTTAAATAGGACGGGTCAGCAACCCTAAACATTCAAAGAGCCTTTTTAACCCGTTTCCCACAGAGAAACAAAGAGTGCCACAAAACCTTCCTGACATCTAAAATGATATTGGTGGATATATTGTTTTTTTTTTTTTATCTTAATACTATGTAGAATAATCTACGTTGTGCAATCATTAAAATCACATCACAAGGGTGGTTGTGACGCAGATTTTAAGCATTAATAAAAATCATGTTTTTGGTTTTTTTTGCAAAATCACAATAATCTTCTAATTCAGATTTATTCATATTTTTATTATTACGTCAAATCAAACAGATTTAAATGCCATCATTATCCTTTTTTCCCAAAGCCAAAGGGCTGAAAGAGCCACATACCCCCTCACCCTTTACTTAATGAGCTGTTCTAATGTGTCTTTTGCCCTTTTGTTTCTGAAATGAAAGCGTACCCTCTCTGTTGCCTCAGCCTTTTTACGTCTATCGCTTTGAGATGTAACACATTTCAAACCTGCTGTATATGTAATGAGGTTTTAATCACAACTGTGTTTATTATTTTGTATTCTGCCATAATGGACATGTCTGAATTGAATGATGAATTAAGGAATGTGCTTGTTTTGTTATATAAAATTTTGGATAACATGCAGATAAACTTTTTCCTTTCTCAGCCCACACCTGAAAAGCACACTATGGTTGCATCCATGCACTTTTTCTTTTTCCTTTATCTGTAACTAGCACTGCTGGTATGTGAAATGGCATGTACTACATTATGTGCAGGCAAGCGAATAAAACAAACAGCTGCTCATTCTTTGTCTTTTTTCACTCTGATTTTATTCAATTTTGGTTTGAGCAGGTTTATATTTCAGGAACCTCTTGTCCCACTTCACACCACTTTCACCCAAAGTGATGCTAATCGAATTTAGACAGTTCTCTCTGCTTGAACATTGGGAAATTATTCATATTTTCAAAAAAGAATCCACGAAAAAGACCCCGAACAAACAAAATAAACCAAAAAAAAAAAAAAACATGAAAATGCTAAAAGTCTGATTATGCTGTGAAATCCCAAACACAAACAAAGTGGAGAAAATTAAACAGATCACTAACAGAAGTAAAACAGTAATTTGGAATAAAGCTGGGGATATTAACTCTGCAGGGAATGATGCTGTGAGAGGGACCAACAGGTTATAATAAAGCACACGGTGAACAGAAACATCAGGAACAACTAAGGACAGAGTGGGGAATCATAAAAGCAGTGAAAGAAAAAGAAACAAAAATACATTTAAGAAAACAGGACTAAAAATGGAGACGATTATACAGCATTAAATAAGCTTGAACACTGTTTTTTTTTTCTCTGGAGCTGCTCCACTCACGTTCTTTTAGAAGATCTAATTTCCTTCATTTGATTAGGACAGTGCACAGTAAGTGACATGTCAGCCATGGGTGTCTTGTCACGTTTTGTAGTCCTTCCCGTTTGGTCCCTAATCACCTCCACCTGTGTCTCACGGTTTCCCTCCCCGTCTGGTGTATTTATTCCCCAGTCTGCCTCTTGTTCGTTGCGTGTTCGTACTTGTCTTTTTGTCAGTCGTCCGAGCATTCCTAGTCTCGTCTTGCCTCGTATTCCTGACCTTCGCCTGCCTGTTCTTGACCACCTGCTTTTGCCTGCTGCTTTTATACCTTTGCCTGATCTTTATTGCCTGCCCGTGTACCGAGCATGTTTGGAAACGACTTTGATTTGATTCCCTTGCCTGGAGTCGTGCATTTGGGTCCTGGTGTTTACACCCGTGATAGCATGCTACTTTTAATTTGTTGTCCTAAAGCAGATTGAAACAAAAAACCCAATAGAAACATAACATTATGCATGCACACATTATCTCTATTGTATTACAGCCAGGGCTTCTTCATGCACGCTTAGAGAAACATTTGTTTGAGAAGTAACTGTTCTGTTGAATGAATTAGTCATTTTCCTGGACAACCCAATTTTATGATTGGGTTGTTCAAATTCATTTCAAACTAAAAGAAATCTCGCCAGAGGATTCACAGTGATTTGAAAATGAAGGTGCTCATTCCAAATACCAACTTCCTGTATTTCAGGGCCCCAACACGTGTATGTCTTTATTATTAAACCGTTTTATCCAGAAAGCTTACGCCTTATTCAGAATTCCAAGACATTTAAGGTTACGAACAAACTGCCTTCAAAAGCTGTATGCTAACCGCTGGATTACATGTGTGCATACTCTTTAATTGTGAAAGATGGCAGGAAATGGCCGCACCATTTTGGTTTTTCTCTCCTGTCCAGTCTGAGGAAGAGTAGCAGTGTGTGCTACACTAAAATAGAACCTGGTGTCAGCAGCGAATGTCCAACAGATCACAATGTTCCTCATGTAGCTGGTGTTTAATGCCTCACACTCGCAAAGATCGCCCTTTTCTGGAATAATATCGCAGTAGCTCACACAGAGCCGCCTTGCCATAGATCCCATTAACTTTTAATGGTCCTCTGGTGATTTAGTGGAGGACTCCACAATGTCAGCTCCCTGATGACAGTAAAGCCCGAACGCTGCCGCAAAGCCGGGCTCAGCACAAAAATGTTTATCGACATCATATTCTAATCGCATTGTTTTTGGAATCATCTAGACATCAAACCACTGCAACACACACATCTGTCTGAGGAGATGAGACCGTTGTTATTTTTTTTTTTCCTGTTCCCCTGAATGAGATCTAAACGGCAGATGTTCACATGACTGTCACATCACAGCATTGCTTTGTCATTAATGTCCGGGCCTAGATTGTCCTAAGCTTTAGTTTTACTGTAGGTCAAGTGACAAGAGAACTAAAGAGTTCATGTAAAGATGCATATATGCAGCTTTACAAGACGTTATTTCCAAATCCAGCTAAGAGCATAGGTTACATACGATACAGGCCAGGTCAGCAAGTAGGACCTGGAGAAATGGACCTCCTGGCCAAGACGGCGTCCACCTCAGAGACTGTGGCTCCCTGAAACACAGCACCAGCGGGAGAGAAAAGACTTGTCACTTTCAGGCAGTAATACCTAACAGATTATGAGCAGCTCAGTGCTAACACAGACGGCTGCTTCTACCAAAAGGCTCGCCTCAACATCTGCACGATGCTTTTAACTCATTGGCTGCCAAAGACGTCTATAGACGTCAATTCAAATACAACCGTTGACTGCCAAAGACGTCTATAGAGGTCTTTTATGTTTTTCAACGAGAGTGTCTGGGGGATGATCTGCTAAAGCTTGTCCGTAAATATGGGCTTCTAGACAGAGTATGTAGTAACAAATTGAGCCTCTAGGGGGCAGTGCCACTTTTGATGGGAGATGAGCATAGACTGTAGGCAAATAAGAAAAAGGGAACGGTTCTATGAGAGAACATGTCGCCGGTGAGACGCAAGTCCAGGAAGAACGGAATAAGGTAGAAACACTTTTTTTTTTCCTGATGAAAGAAGAGAGTCTACTCTTTCTTTTGGTGTGTTCGGTGTTTACATAGTCATAGCACAAACTATTCTGTGGCTCTAGAAAAATCAGTCAAAATGCTCAAAAAACTCTGGCAGTATGGGACTCTGTTCTGAAAATGGCTGGCAGTCAATGAGTTAATAAGCAATTTTCACTTTAGTTTGGTCACATCATGCATTTCTGTATCAGAACCAACAAAGTAAAGCCATCATTTGTATAGGTATTTGGTCAATTCAACCAACAACTGAAATATGACAAAGTCTGTTCCCATGAAATCTAATTTTAGGGATAAGCGGCTCGGTGTAAAGCAGATTTATTCAGTATTTTGTTTTATACACCAGGTGTGGTGGTGGAACAGATGTTTCTGCTGATATGTTGATGTGTGCTGGGCTCTTCATAGTGGAACCACCAGAAACGCAAAAAAGCAGCATAAACAGGAAACAGCAGAAAGTGCTAATCCATTTTTGAATAAATACCAGTAAAGAGTTTTACAAATATATATGTGTCAGGGGGGTGGGTCTTAGGGAGGACTCAGGTGCGGAGAGGATTGGTTCCAGGGGTTTTATTGGAACAAAAAAAACGCACTCAAACGGAGTGGGTGTCAAGACAAAGGCTGTGACAAAACTATGAACAAAGTATCAACGTAAGATCAACATGGCTGTGAACAAAACATGGCTGTGACAAAAACAAGGCTATGGCACAAAAAAAAAACAAGACTGTGGCAAAGGTGCAAAAATCAAAATCTTACATGACGTGGGACCAAGGACACGAAAGCAGAAAGACGAAAACACACTGGCCCAGGACATGGGAAACGAGGACTATTTAAACACATGAGGGAGGGGAACCCCAGGTGTACACAATAGGTAATTAACACATGACGACACACCAGACATTCCCCCAGACGTGACAATATGAATATCTTCAAATCTAAATTAAATTGCACAATCGGCTGCATTTTAGAGCCTTTCCCTTAAACAGCCTTTAATGCGACAGATTTAATGTTTGACTTACGTTAAGAAGTCTGCGCACAGCTTTAGGAGTAGTGAGGAGTCCCCGAACTCGATCATGGACCTCCTCCCACGCTCTGTGAGGACTGCACTCTCGCCTGAGCAACAAACTGACAATCAGCCACAAGTGAGAGACACTTTTCTGAGGACTAAATCTGTCCCAGAACAAACCTGATGTGAGCGGGCCCTTTTCTATAGGACCGCTGTAGTTCTGAAGGGCGAGGACCACGATGACTGGCAGAGAGCTCGTGTGTTTCCAAAGACATGGGATCATCTTCAGGTATTTCGCCAACCTGCCAGAGCAAATGGGAAGAAGTGTGTATTACGAATAGAACTGAGTACACAAAGTGACACATGGGCCACAACTTTTTTTTTTAAAGAGAATCTTGAAATGAAATTGTTACCAAACCACTGGAAAATGAGTTTCTTCTGGTTGGGGAATATCTGCCTATATCAGAGAAATAAAGAAACACAAACAAAACATCTGTATTTGGTGACAGGGTGCTGGGCATCAGCTAGGTTTACATATATATCATCAAAAGAACAGCTTGACACATTGTGTCATCACTAAACAAATGTCATGTAAAGACTTCTACCTGTGCTGGAAGGCTTGGTCAGATGAGAAGAGGAGCTGGTCAACCATGCAGACTGTCTGGTTCCAGGCCAGGAACTCAGCAACTGGGACAATGAGGACACAATTAGTCAACTGCTAGAGGGTCTGCCACTCAGACTCTGGCTGTAGACCAGCAGGACGGCCGTGTGGAGTGTGTCCATGGGAGGTTCTTGTCGCTCACGCAGTGGCTGATTCAGGTGTGGCAATGGGAACTAAGGCCTTCCTTGGGATGAACCTTACTGGAACCAGAAGGAGGACGGTAAGTGCAAGCACTTCTGACTATCAGCAGCACAGAGACAGACCTGTTTACCATGGGGATGTTTTTAGGATCCCAAACCCTGGTGCTCTCCCCACTGCTTCAGAAGACTCCGCCCCTGTGGTCTGCGAAGCCCACTCAGCCCAGCCGAGAACTTACAACACACACATCTCCACAGCCAAGTCAGATCACCACAGCTTCCTCAGTTTGAGCTTCTCATTGGCTCCCTGTTCTGCTCCTCACATATAAAGCTCTGAATGAGCAGCTCCAGCATTTCTGACAGAGCTCATAGTCGGATATTTTCCCAGCAGAGCTCTTTGCTTTCAGACTGCAGGTCTACTTGTGGTTCCTGGAATTTATAGAAGTAGAATGGGAGGCAGAGCTTTTAGATGGGAGTTCAGTAAGCAGACCTCCTCTCTACCCTCCACCTTTAAGATCGGGCTTCAAGCTTTCCTTCTTGATAAAGCTGATAGTTGGGGATGGCTCAGGCCCCCAGAAACATCCCATAGATCTTCTGCTCTAGGCTCAGGCTGCTGGAGGAGCTTCCATGATGCATCTTTTGTCTTCTGTCTCTTTGTTTGTGCTTTTTTCTTCATGCACAGGAGATGCTGTTGCTGTAATTCATTTGTGTTTCTCCTTCTCTCGTACTCGTTATGCCCTTCCAGGGTCTGTATCTGCCAGAGGTTTTTTCCTGTTAAAAGGGGGTTTCAATGCATTCTGCTGATATGCTCACCAAGGAACTTTTTCAAATTTATTCCAAACGAATTAGATGTTCTTGAAATTTAATGAACTGGACCTGGTTGGGCTTGGATTGCATTACAGTGAATCGGATTCCAGTTGACTTTAAATGGACTGGATTTTGAAGTGCCTGGAGATTACATTTGTTGTAATTTGGTGCTTTAATTGAGTGTGCATTATAGTATTTTTTTTACTTTAAGACCTATAATATTACAAAATAATGTTGGAACACTATAATGCTCCCATATTCTGTCAAAACATTCAGCTTTCATAACACCAAACACAACTGAAGCTGAGCATCAGTATTGGGTTTTCATTTTTTTTCAGCCTCTCAACCCTGGAAGTGCCAGTGCTTGCCCTGATTCAATTATCTTAATTTCCCCTCATTGTTTAAACTAGAATGCATACTGTTATGTGCAAGTGAATGTTTTATTACTACTATTAATATCTTCATGTATGGCATTTATTTCATATGTGACAATATTGTATAATATAGGAGTGTTAGTTTTTTTTTTTCGCCATCTAATGTGCTCCCTTTGTTCAAGTTTTTAAGTTCCAAGAGGATGATTGTATGCGTCATGCCCAGTTCTGCCCTTCCCCAGCAGGAGTCCTGGTGCTGGCATGGTCTGCTTAACTTGTTTAAAACATCTGGTGGATTATTAAAGGTCAAATATTACCCAAAAAACGGTAGGCCTGTTAAACAGCTGGAATTAAGCTGTAATGAACAGTGTAGTTGTTTTAGCCCATATTAACCACAGTGTACACATTTTAAGAACTGGGGTTTTCTGTAACGTAAGCACTGTTGCCATGATCGGGTTTACATCAGGCAAAAAGCCACTGAATTGGTGTGAGCTATTTACCATCTCAAGTAAAGTTGTTACACGACAAATTTGCCATTTGGACAGAAGCTATTCTCTTCTATAATGCAAAGAACAGCTATGTGTCTATGTGTTTTGTTTGTTTGATCTTGGTACGGGCTGTACTGGAAGTCAATTTCTCCCTGGAGATCAATAAAGTATATTCAATTCAATGTAGTGAGAAAAGTCTAATTATGTCATTGCACTGTATTGTTTGTATTAAGTAAGATAAAAGGTGAAGTCTACACCTAAGAAAAGCCTCACCTGTGGGCATAAGTGCTGCACAGGATGGCTCACAAAGCACTTCTCTGCCACCTGCTGACTGGGACTCATAACAAAAAGGAAAAGAAGATAAATGGTGTGTCCTTACTGCTCGAGATATCCCGGTGTCCCTTTCCACCGAGTCTGAGCTAAGCCGGGCCGGATGCTGAGGGTTCCTGTCCCTCAGAGGGGACAGGGACAGGGATCTGGGCTGGTGTGGTAAAGGCCAGACGATGCTCTCCCTCCCACGGTCAGCCCTGTCCCCGCGCTCCCCTCCACGGATTGGAGGACATCTTGTTCCCGGTTTACTGGATCGCCTCGTGCTCTGTTTTCCAAATGGCTTCTAGAAACAAGGGAAGGGTGGCACAGGATCCTTTGAAGAGCACATACAGCAGCAGTGAATCACAGGCACCGTGGGAACAACAGGAGGTGGTTTAGCTGCGTATTCACAGCATTTGGAGCTCCAGCATGATGACACATTCAGTTTAGAGATGATTGACTCACTGTAGTTTGATATGAGTGATGATCTTGTATTTATCGTATGAGAACAGCTATTTAATCTTTCCATGCATTTTACATAAAAGATGTTGTCCTTTTTTTTTTACCATGGGTTTATTTGGGTAAACCTTGACCTCAGCATCAGGTGAGCACTCAGTGATGGTTGTTTTGGTGGTGAACTCCAACCTCGGAGCAATACCCTTGAAGGAATGTTAAAAAAGATCAATAAATCCGTTAGACGCAAGTGTAGGTTACATTCTGAAACTAGAAGTTGTTTTTTTCGTACTACTAACAAATACAGTTTACTTTACTCTATGTGTCCAGTGGCTGGGACCTACAAGAAAATGAGGTGCTCTGCTCATCAGAACCTCTCGATCCACTCCAGAGAAGGGGCGAACAAGCTTGGGTTCTGGAAATAAAAAACTTTGAGCATCTTCTTCAAAACAAGCCAGAGTGTCCCCCACTGCAAGAGAAAATTGGTTCATGAAATAACAATGAACAATAATAACTACTATTACCGTATTCTCAATCATTGGGGAGATGAAAAGAGAAATATACAATATCCTGGTTTACACCATATTCAGAAGTGGTCCATATTCTTCAAAATATAATATACAAGCATGATCATCTTTGAAGTGATATAGAAATTTATTTAAATACCAATTTCCTAAACCAATTATTGCCTGAACAAGTGACACAGTAATTATGATTACATGTCAATTAGGCAGGAAATCTGATGAGTAAGACAAAAACTGAAGGTTAAAAGAAATAACAAAAACAAACCATGAGGTGGACAACCACCAAACTAAACTAAAAAATAAAGGTCTAAAAACAGAGGCTACAACATACAGGAGACAAAGAAAAGTGAAAACCATGGTTAGGAAAGTTTAAAAGCAGTGAGGGAAGTGATATGTGATTGATTTCAGCAGAGGACAAAGAACAGGGGCGTGGATCTGATGACTAGATAGGAGAGAACTAAGAAAAACCAAAGAAGAAAGAAGAAAGAAAATAGCTAAAATAACACAAACTGAGCAAAGGGAAAACCAAATCAAACCAGAGCAGACACAAAGAGAATGACTAAAATAAAACAGAATAAATCAAACAAATCACAAAATATCTGAGAAATGAAAAAGAAATAAAAAGTCCTCTGGCTCCTTGTGAATTACAGCGGTGTGTGTTTTTCTCATTTCTGACTTTCAAAGTGAGTTGTAGCACCTGGAGGCTCATAATTCCAAAATAATGAGCTATAAACCATAATGAATCCAGTTAGAAACGGGGTGCCAGTTTAGAGGGGCTGCTGCTGGACATGTGCTAGCTTCTGATTGAGTCGGATACTCGGAATTGGATCATGAAAATGTGAGCCTGACTGTGGATTCTTTTTAAAAGGTCAGAATTGGACCATTTTATTTAAAGACAGACGTGTGAGGGTGAATCATTCTTCCGGGACATGTTCCACACTGCGTTTTACTCTGCACGATTACAGCCCCCAATCTGAAAGCCCATCGTAGTTAATTAAAGCAATTCATCTCTCCATCATACTGATGAGTTAATTATATCCGTTTTGATTAATAAATGTATTCGGCATGCCAATTAGGAGCGATTCCCTCTCCCCCTGTGTATGTGAGAGTACCTGGAGGCATCATCTGCACCAGCTCTATCCGGACTGTCTCATCTGTGGAGAGGGAACAAGTTTAGACCTCACAAAGCATTTCTATAGTACAGAACAATCTACAGGCTCTCTACTGTCGGTCAGTACTGATAACACAAAGTGTCACACAAGTGGCTTTTAACTTTAACAAAGAATGTGTTCTCTATTGACAAAATTTACATTAAGGCAGTACTTGGTCTCTGCTGGTCCTCCATACTTTTGTTTTTCTCTATACAATAACACTGATTAAAATACTGAGGGAGATGTTAGGTTAAGCCTTTTGCCCAAGGGGACTTTAACATGAGGAAGGGCAGGTTAGGAACTCCAGGTTTTCAAGCCATTTAAGTGGACAAACCATTACTCAAGCACTGATTTGATCAACCTGTGCCAACCTAGGTGAAGATTTTTTTTCTTTCACATGCACACAGAGGCCTGTAAGGAGGTTCAGTGAATGTCTGAGGAAGACAGCACTTCTAGCACCTGAGCCATGGTGAACCCCATGAGAGTGCTGGGACATTATTTAAACCAACACCATCATAATGCCTTTGCCTGCTAGGGACCTTGAAATATTTCATTAAAACTATTTGAAGGTACCAGCAAATTAAGTTTTTCTTAATCAAGGGAATAGTTTTAATGATACGAACCTCAACAATGTCATAAGGATTTGGAGTGCATCACATTGTGTCATACATCATGATTAAGTATTGTGAATGGATGTTATAATTGTCAAATCAATCTTACTGAAAAGTGAGACCGGGAACTGCCAAACACCAATAAAAACCAGCGAACAGATATCGGCACACTCATCTTTCACTTACAGGCAAGCATGAGAGTGATGTCTCTGGGGTCGACAGCGTGTCGGAAAATCTGCAGAATTAAGAACAAAGCTTGTTGTGTTGTTGAATTTCCCTTAATCACTGCTCAACATTCCACGTATGTACTCATTCTATCAGGGATGACCTGTTTGGAGCATGTTAAACATTCTTTTTTAAGGTCTTTTAGGCAGTTGTGGTCTTAATTTGAACGGTTATACAATCAATGGGGCGCAGAGAGAGATGAGGAAGACATTCAATAGGCCCCAGGTAAAAATTGGAAGACGTTTGACGTTTCAATTAATGTTCAACCTGCTCTGCTCCGCTACATAAGTCTTTCACAGCACAATAAGTGAGACAGAACATCTAAGCCCTAGCTGTGCGTCTTCTACGTGGAAAAGAGGTAAACATGTGCCTTTTCAAAAGTCATCTTCTCGTGGATGAGCAGAGGGAAGACAGCAGGGAGACTTTCAGACTGGCCACACTGGCCCATGAAGGAAACGCTGAGGTATAAATCATCTTTGGCTGGTAGACGAACTCCAGGACAAGAAACCTGGGAACAAAGAAGGAACATTTCAGTACTTCATATTTTACTTTCAATGAAGCACAGTATGTATTGTTATTTTAAATGTATATTGTTTTGGATTTACAATCATAGAGCAAAGGAAAGGGATCCAATTATATATATTTACAATATGTGCTACCATTATCATTGTTAGAATAAAAGATAGTTGTCAGGTAAGACCAGCTCACACAGGTATAAGTTTATCCTTTTTGAGTTAATCTAATTAGCGATATTGTTCAGCTGGCGTACAAAGAATGAACCTAGGATTAATTGAAATAAAGGAGAAATGTCATGCAGATCAGGGGAACCCTTGAAGAAAATTTGATTATCAAACAATAAAAAGGGGGCTGGAACTCATTGATTCTTTTTTAATTGTTTCTTTTTAATTTTATGATGAGACAATATGATGATTAAATAAAGGTCAGTCAATTTCAGAGATGGGTCATTAACCTTTTATTCCTTTATTAATTTGTAACAGAAGATTAAAAAATAGATATTGAGAAGTTGCTAGAGGACAGAAAAGCAGATTCAGGTCAATATTATGTCAGATTGTGAAATAGCGTAGTAGTGCCCACTGGCAAACATCATGCTTTAACCCTAATATTACATATTTATTAGGTTTCTAAGATGCATTCCACCACCATAAAATCAACACTTTGTTTTAAAAGAATGTTATATTCAATCTTTTTTTTTTTTTGCAATGACCTATGTCATTTTCCATGTGAGGTTTAATTCCTAAACCCTTATATGTTAACTATTTAATGACTAAAAACTCTAAGCTAATTAGACATCAACTCTAACTGACTATCAGTTCTTGATCATGCCAACATGAGTCAGATAGAGGGGCCAAACTGAATCCAAAATCAGCCCAGTGCCCCAACGACTCTAAAATGGTTTGTTTTTCAACTTATCATTAAAATAAAATTTAAAAAAATCCAATGGAAATCTAAATTAAGAATAAAGTCAAATAAAAAATAAAATAAAAATACGATAAAGACAGACTTTACATTAAATTTGCATGAATCTATACTGCATTTTCGCGGCACAACATTAAAAATGGCGGCGGAGAGAGTAAACAGTTCTTACCGCTCTCAGGCCTACTTCAGCCATCACTTTCAGCGCTCTCCGCGACATTGGAATCCTATTTTATTTAATTAAAAAATGCTATGGAGGCGCAGCTTCTGCTCTTCCTGTTTGGTGTCCCCTCCGGCTGTTACCATGGAAACTGCTGTTTCCGGGTTTGGTTGCTGGAGCAACCGGCGATCCTCGTCCCGTATCGATCACTTTAAAGGACCAGTTAACAGTATAGTAATGTCACACTCTCCCAAAAGATTCATTTGTTGAACAATTGATTGGAATCTAGCTTTATACAGATAAAACCAGTAATATATTTAACATAAATATCTATTTGTTTCACAACATTTTTTTCAATGCATTTAGAAAGGATTCAGTTTCAAAATGTCTAGAGTCCTTGTTGCAGCATTATGGTAAACTATTGCATTCCTAAATGCAATATAGATAGATAGATAGATAGATAGATAGATAGATAGAATGGCTAAAGACAGAATAATAAAAATAAAATAAAAAATTCTTTAGATAACTAACCTCTTGTCAGTTGTCTGAAATGACTCATAAATTTAAGTCCAACTAAAATTCACAAGTACACATGTCTAACCAAGTCCATCTTATTTTTTCTTAATGTGTTTTCCATGACATAACATATTCATCTCAGTATATTGAATAGTTTATATATTTGTGTTGAAGTATAACAGTTTAATTATAAACTTGTGTCTGGTCTTAATTGTGTGTGTGTGTGTATATCTATCTATCTATCTATCTATCTATCTATCTATCTATCTATCTATTTGTATATGGCTTGTCCTTGTGCTGGCTTATCTACTTTGCTTAGGCTGGAGGCTTACAAAAATAAATAAATAAAAAATTATCTATAAAATCAATGAAAAACTTTCACATAAACAAACACCACACTGGGGAAAAAGTGTTCAATCGTCATATTTATGCTGCTTGCAAAGTTTTCACTTGAATGGATCCTTTGGCACACGTCTGACAGCTTTAGTTTTCAGGTTCAAATAAAAATAGAAGTGAAGTTATTCCCGTCAATGCGATAATTAGCAAAATTAAAAATTCTAAGTGAATCACTGAAGGAAAGTAAAACCTTTCTATAAATATCAAATAAAAAAAAAATACAACTGTCAAACAATCTAAACAAAATTTTCACTCATTTTCACAGCCGATTCATGTCAAACAAAAAGGATTTCTCATTGCGTTAGGCACTGGAACTGCGCACGCCATTGTCCTCCGGCACTTTGGGCTCCGCCGGCTCCGTGTCAGACTCTGAACCGGAGTCTTCGTCCTGTTTTTCCTGAGCGTTTGTGCCGTCCGGATTGAGGACCACCACTCCTTTTCTCTGAGGAAGGACAGAGAAGAAGGCCTCCTGCCAGCTGTCCTTCTCCAGGTAGGCCAGGATGATCTCGAACACTGCCGGGCAGAGGAGAGCACGCTTTCAGAGGGAGGAACGAGGAGGAGGAGGAGGAGGAGAGCAGCAGAGACAAAGCTGGAACACAAGTCCAGTTCAAAGTAGAGATTTGATGCATTGTCTACTTTTTGTTGACTAAATATGCAGATATGAGGAAAATGGTGGTTCTAATCAATGGCAATTTGTAGGGTTGTCAAAAGTATCGATACTCCAAAAAGTATCGATACTAAAATGTTGTATTCGGATACGATACTCATTTTCAAAAGTATCGATACCAATCCCCCCCTGCATGCGCGCGCGATGCTAACCTTCCGTCGCGGCGCCCCTTCTCTCAGATTTATTTATGTATTTATTTAGGTTGTTTATGATCATGAACAAGACGTTATCTTTGAATTGCTAGCTGCGGCTAATGGCTAATAATAACACGCCAACATTAATCAAGTACATATCCGAGTCCGCCCACATCGAAGTCGGCCATTTTAATTACATCACCAATAGGAAGATTCCAGGCAAGAAAATCCTAATTGCTTCATGGCAATATAGAGTTTCATTTAAAAATTGTGAAATTAATCAAACACTTAATTAAACTCTATACATATTATGTTAAAATTGTGGATGTTAAATAGGTTTGTACAATAAGTCCAAAGAAGTGTAACCAAAAAATATTTATTTCTCACAATTATGAAGGCTGGAGGGTTAGGATTAAAGTCATTAATGCAGGCCACCAGTCACGACATCATCACTAACAGGTCAGTTTGAAATGACACTAACCTGTCAAAATTCAGTTAAATTTTGGGGTCTTTTTTTATCCTTGTGGTATCGAAAATGATATCGAGTATCGAGTATTTTCCTGAGTATCGGTATCGAGTTGAAAATGTTAGTATCGTGACAACCCTATGAATTTGTATGTGTTAACACTACAAAGATGTGGGTTAAGAGGCTTGGAGAGATTTTTTTTTGTTAATGTATTTGTTCATCTGAATCTCTGCGGCTGAGTTAAGGATTCATCAGGAATTATTCTTCTAGGAAAAACACTAAACTTTGAACTATGCTAGTGTGAAGAAAGCTGAACCGCCGCTCACAAACGACCTGCTGGCTCTCGGTCCTCACCGTGGTTGACCGCCAGAACCTTCCGGCTGTTCATCTTGACGAAGCTGCCCAGAGGAAGCTGCGCGTGCTCCACCCCCAGCTCCTTCGCCCTCTGGAACGTAATGCCCTGAAAAGCAAATACCTGCAGTTAGCCGGAACGGAAGCGGTAGCAGTAAGGGAGGGGGGGGGGGGGCACGCGGCGCCTGTCGGACCTTGTGGTGGTTGTGGTCCACCAGGCCCCCGATCACGTAGGCCTTGTTCTGGTCCAGCTCCTGCAGCACGTTGGGGGAGTCTGAGGTCAGGTACACCAGCTCCTCTTTGGCCAGCACTTCACTGTAGTGCTCCGTCCGGATGTTAATGTCCTACACACACACACACACACACACACACACACATTCTTGTAAGTACCTCAGACTGAGGACCAAGTATAAGGACTCACAAACTGAGGACCAGTAGTTCTGAGCGTCTTAGAAAGATTGAGTTTTCAAATTTCAAACACACACACACACACACGCGCACGCACACACAAAGTGAGGACCAGGAAAATGTCCTCACTTTCAAAAAAAGACCTCACTTTGTTGGTTAAAAACTACTTATGGTTCTCACTCTGATGCGGCAACAAGAGAACACACGCACATACACACACACAATAAAGTGAGGACCAGGAAAATGTCCTCACTTTCAAAAAAAGACCTCACTTTGTTGGTTAAAAACTACTTATGGTTCTCACTCTGATGCGGCAACAAGAACACACACACACACACACAGAGTTTAAACGGGTCTCCTGTCCTGTGAGCAGGCCATCGCTGACCTCACCGGTGCTGTGTGAGGGGACATGTCCACTATCTCCACTGTGCACCTCCCTGAATTTAAATAGTATCATTTCAGTTTAGATTTCAACATGACAGAATTACACGCCTCGCCTCAAACTGCCCCCAGATTTGAAGCCAACGGCCCCTATTTCGT